GCCCAGCCTCCCCCCGCCGCGCCGCCGCCCCTCCCTCCCGCCCCCTGAGCCTCGCCCGGCCCCGCTGAGCAGCAGCCGCGCAGTCCCGGCCGCCCCCGGCAGCGATGAGGCCGCGGTGCCTCCCGCTGCTGGCGCTGGCCATCGCCCTGGCCGAGGCGGCGACCTGTGAGTGAGGCGAGGCGAGGCGGGACGGGGCGGGGGCCGCGTGTGGGGCCGGGGCCGCCCGGGCGCTGTGCTCGGGCCCCGCGGTTCCTGAGGGGGGAGCTGGGCTCGGGAAAGCGTCTGCGCTGGGAGCTTGGTTCCCTTGCAGGAACAGCCCTCGGGAGATCGCGGTGTGCTCGGAAAAGTGGCTTTGTTGTGCAGTCCGGCGAGCGGCACTCGCTCTGTTTGTGAGTTCAGATCTCGCAGGCTAAGTAAGAGCTACGTGCTCTCACATACAAATTAAAAAAAAAAAAAAAAAAAAATTAAATAAATAAAGCATTCCGTCTTTGAGCTTTTTGAGTCTTTGAGCTTAATAGTGGAAGAAGACAGTGTGGCTGAAACAAGCAGAATTGCGGCTCAAAGTGAGCCTGTTTCTGACCTGTTTTACTAATGATTAAACTGGCAGAAGAGAAAGCGAATGTTTACTATTCTGCAGGGTGCTGGCGTGTCTGACTTGGGAAGGCAGCAGTATCAAAAGATGAAAGTTCATTTTGCAACGTTTTTAACCGGTCCCAAAAACAAACCTAATAAATATAAATATTTCATAATTATATTTTCTCCTGTTTTCATCACGTTTTTGGTTCCATTTATCTTCTCCACTGCGTACCTTGTCATTTTTCTTAACAGCAGGAAATGAGCTGTCCTGCTCATCCAAAATTTCTGTGGTCCGTATTTCCAGTTTCTTATCCCTGGCTCTGAACAGTGCCAGGGATTTCTGGAATAGCAGGGGAAGAGGGGGGGAAGAAGAGAAAACAGCTTTAAAATGCAGCTCATACTGTTCAATAATCAAAAAGTTGTCTCTGCAAGCCTCAGTGCAAGTGCATTTGGTCAAATACCAGGTGAGGGACGCATTTTGGAGAAGGTGCAGGTAAATATTAGCAGCCAACTTTATATAGCATAATGTCACTGAGGAGCTTTTTCAGGATACTCTTGTCACTGGAGTTACAGAGCTGTGCAAACAAGGTTGTGCCACTTCCTACAGTGGTGTCACTTTTTATTTAGTTTTATTCAAGTGCTTTCTTTGGCTGAGGTCTTAGGTAAGCAGCTCTAAGTTATGTTTAAGTGGCCCAGTTTAGGCAGGTTTAAGGTTGCATCTGCATGACAGAACAGCTGTAAGAAACCACTGAATCTCATCCTCCCCCACAATTTTTTTCTTCTTTTTGAGTAGCATCACTTTTATGTGCCTGATAAGCATTCACTACACAATGGCTGCACCCCACCTCTGGAAATTGTTAGTCTCTGGAGTTGCACAAGGCTTCAGTGATGACCACGTGAAGCACCCGAGTGCATTAAGGGTTAACTTGGTTTGGCAGGGTCAGAAATGAGCTGGAGTTTCCTGTAATCAGACTGGCAGCAGCAGCAGTAGTCAGGAATTTTTGTTTTTAATAAAGGTCCTATCATAATCTTTGTAATTAAAACACAGATGAATAAATACACTGCTGATTCTGTGCATGGGGATTGACATATTTAACTAAAGAAACATGGAATTTGCTCTGAGTTACGTGTTTTATTTCAAGTCAGAAGTTATAGGAAATCAGCTTGGGAGAAGGATAAACTGCTCTGATGTAGAGAAAAAGACTTGTTCCCATTGCCCCACTGTATTGAAGACATGAAGTAGAAAGTGTTACATCTGTTTGTAGACAACTGAAAATTTCTTGTCTTTTATTTACTGTAAAACCGTGTGAAAATGACAATGATGTAGCTAATTGTCAACATCTTTGTGGGGATAGAGATCTCCCATGGAAACAAACCCAGCAGCTGTAATACACAATTTTCCTATTTCTGTTGTCACTCCTTTTGCCTCAGGACAGATGGTCTTTCTGCATCTTTCTTATTAATGAGAAATAAAACATCTAGTCTAATTAATTGAACTTCTTTCCTTTCTAAGCAACTTGCTTGTTTCTCTCTGAGATAGAGCTGTGCTGTAAAACCTTGGAGGTGAGATGCACATCCACCTTATGCTCAGGAAATCTTATTTACTGCCTTCCCAGGATGATTAGTTTTACCAGAATGAAAGCAAATAGATTAGTTTGTAGTTACAAGCTCAGCCCATGTCAGATTCACTCAGGAGGCTGTAACACAAAGGCTTCTTCAGGTCATTGCCCAACGTTGCAGCACTTCAGAACGTTCCCTGCCGCTTAGTAGAGACCTTTAATGTGTTTAGGATGGTGTGGTTTTAGTTAAATGTTAAATCGGTCTCCTTCCAAGCCCTGGTCCTCATTATCTGCTTTTTCTAGTCAGATTCCTTAATTTTTTCTTTCCTGTTAGTGCAGAGAAACTGGGAGCTCTCCTCTGGCGCTTGGCAGCTGGTGTGGCTCCCGAAGGTGGAGGAATTGTCACAGGCAGTACTGGATGGACTTTGTGTGCTTGAATGGCTCTGTTCTGTGGAGCTGGATGAAAATGTGTGGCCACAGACCTGATGTGCACTGCAGGTGTCACAGCCCTCACACAGCTGGGCACTCCCAAAGGTTAAGTTGTGCAGAGGCTGAGAAAGGAAAGTGTGCCCTCCAGTTAACATCTGTCATCTGCACTCTGGACTTCTTCCAGCTGTGCTCATCCATTTTTGTCTCTATCGCAAGCTATAGCCAAAAATTAAACCAGGCAGTCTAATTTAGAGGCTGTTCCTGGAGTGTTGTGTGCTCTGCAGAGAACATTGAAGCGGACATCTTTCATTTTTAGTGTCATTTCTCAGTGTTCACCACTTGTTAAAAGTCACTAAAATGACAATAACCAGATACATGAAAATTAAGTAATGACTCATGCTGGGTCTGAATCATAAAAGCTGGCTAGGATTGTTTTACTTTGTAAAATGTTGATGTATTTATAGATTGTTTGCCTTGATATTCCCAGGATGGCATTCTCACCTTTGTCTTGTTCTTCACTGTTCTGAAAAATAAAATGATATTTATGTTAATTACATATAACAGGCAGCCTGACTTGGTAAGACATCATTTTGCTCTCACATAAATTTAATAGGGTCAGAATATTTAATTGCATATCACTGAAACTGGTAAAATAATCAGCTCTTTTTAATCTACTTGCTGCTTACATATCTTGATTTGTAATAACCATAACCATAAAAAATAAATCTTGTCCTGGGTGTGACTTATAAATTATGCTTCAGGCATGGATGCTATTAGGGATTAATAGCACAGATTAAGGATTTTTTGGTCAGAAACAGCTCCCACATACAGAATCCTAGAATTTTTTTGCTTGCATTTTTCAAAACAATAGCAAACATCAACTCCTGACTAAGCATTTAATTCAGAATTTTGTGTTAAATTCTCATATTTGCTCAGTCTTTACAGCATTTTTCATCTGTTGCAAAAAGAGATCAATAATAACAGAGTTGCTTTTTTTCTCCCAAGTTTTATCCCAGCAGTATGCCTCTCAGTTCCTGCTGAGGAAACGCCGAGCAAACTCTTTCATGGAAGAAAGTAAGAAGGGAAATCTAGAAAGAGAATGCATTGAAGAATTATGCAACAGGGAAGAAGCCAGGGAAATCTTTGAAAATAATCCTGAAACTGTAAGTATTTTATGAGTATCTATGATATAGACAGCAGTTCTTTGTAGAGGGAAAGACAAGCTCATGGAATTCACAGCTCCCAGTAACAACACTGGGCAAGATCCCCCCATTTAAAGAGACAATTTTCAAAGTAATTTTGACATCCAATTCATTTGCATTGCCCTCACTTTGCAAGTGTCCAACTCAGTGCAGTATTTTAATCTCACTGAGTCTTATGTGTACTAAATAATCTGCTTTAGTCCAAACTACATTAATGTAGAAAACCAGGCCTATATTTTGTGACTCAAACTAACTTTTTCTTCTTTTGTAGTTATAATACCAATATATTTCAGAATATATTCGATGATGTATTTTGCTGTCATTTTATCTACCTGAAATTTTTCTTAGCCTTTATTTTTCTTTTCTTTCTGCAGGAATATTTTTATCCCAAATATTTAAGTAAGTACAAAAAAAAATCCCTAAACAATTGTAGTGTATGATTCAGTGATGCTCTCATTTGGGTAATACTGGTTTAGTTTTTCTGCCCCTAGCACTGGGATGATTTCCATGCTGATTATAGTGCAGAGAATCTCCTGTGTGCTGAGATCCTCACAGAGGCACTCTGAAGGCTGGGCTGTCATCAGCTGTCCTTAACATGCCCAGACCAGTTTTGCAATTCAGGCTGTGAGAACAGGCTCTTTGAAGATGCCATGCAGCAAGTGCTGTAATTTCAGTGTAAATGAGTTGTTTGGACCCTGAGCTGATAGTGTGACTTTGCATTTGCAGGCTGCCTTGCCTCCCATCGAGCAGGGGTGTTCAGGGTGGCTGCAGTCACTCCAGACTCTCCAGCTGACCTGAGGGCTTGTGTCAAGGGTAAGTGCTGATGTTGGAACACACAGTGGCTAAAAAGCTGTTCAGAGACACAAAAAGAGACAAAAAAAATGGTTTAAC